GGATCAAATTAGTATTTTAACCAAAAATTAGGTCAAATCATCCTACCATCTAGTGTTGCATTCAAGTAATTGAGTTTACTAATCTCCATCTGTCGGTCGAACTATAAATATACATACATGTTCCAGTTATTAGGTGTCTTGAAAGCGATAAAATTTAATGGGTCCAAATATGATTAATTTAGTTTCTAAAGAATCTGGCAAGCTAGCTGGCTAGTACAAAATAATCCCAACAATTGTCGTTAAACCATTGTTTTCAATTGCGAACATGTACTGGTTTAATTAACTAGTCGAAAAGAAGGCACGACATCAACCTCAATAGCACTAGAGATCATCTTTTTCATCGTCACCAAGCATAATATATTTTTGTACCTAAAAATATGAATAAATACAACACAAGTTTAATCAGAATCAACTTTATTTTAAAAAAATATTATATGAAAAGTTAGAATTTATTATTAAAAAAATTAATAAATTTGTGATGAAATTCCATTGAAGTTTTGAAATTTTGGCTACCAAAGATCTCGGACAATAATCAGATCATGATTATTAATTAAGTGAAATTATTTGCCCTATTTATCTAAGCATTAAGAAGACTTTTTGAAGATCTTAATTGGGTAAGCAAGGCAATTAGCAAACACAAGGCTTATATACATCAAAGTATATGATGTAAAGGTTAAGATTTTTTTTTTTTTTTTTGGTTCGCACATGATGATATGGGATGAGGGAATTAACATTAACCTAAATTTTCAAGCACGCTTTGGACAGCTCATAAAAAATATCTCCAAAATGATTGGAATGGATAGCAAATTAAGTAGAAAATATATATTTTAATAAAAGCGAATATTCCTATTTTTTTAAAATTAACAAATTATACATGCATGTCTCATAATAAACATTCATAATTTTTTTAGTTTCCGTTTAAAAATAAACATTCGTAATTTGTCAAGCTAATGTTATGCATGTGTTAAATTGTTAATGGGAAAGCTGTATAACCCAAAAAGTGTTTGGGCTCGACCAAAAAAATGTTTGGGCTCATATTCTGGGGTCTGTGCTGTTCCTTCCTTTATCGAAACAAACCCAAAATGTTTTTAAGGCCCATTTACCCAAACCCAAAGTGTTTTTTTTTTAATGTTTTTTTGGATAAAGTGGAATTTTATTTATCCAGTAACATAAATATGTGGCATTTGCGCTATTTCAAAAAAAAAAAAAAAGCAAATTGTGGATAAAATATTAAAGGATGGTACTGTAGAGATATTTTTTTATCTCATTAATTTATATAATTTTTATATATCATTAAATTAAATGAGTGAATACATTTAATATCATGGATTTCATATGAATTAAAAGAATTAATTATTTTAATAACACGTCAAATTGTATAAAAATATGAGATAAAAAAATTATATAAAAATTATTTTTCAATATTAAAATAAAGGCAGATCCACGTCATCACTATTAATCTAATCTACTCAAAATTTAGGCCCAATTTTAAATTACTAGTAATGCGCAGCCTTCGCAGCTCATGGAAACCTATTACTTACAAGTTTCCTTTTTGGTTAATTACACTGACTCCTTCATTTTCCTACTTTCAGAGTGTAAGACATTGAAATTTAATTGTTTAACCTTTTTATTTGAAAATTTTATTTAAGGGTTTTTATTGTGTAATTTGAACAGTAAAATAGAGATAATTAGATAAAAAAATCCTTATCAAGGAGCCTACTTTTGTTTAATAATAAGTATTGTGTAATTTAATACAGTTTCAGACTACACAACATTTTTAAGTATTATTTAATATATTTAATTTTGTTTTATACTTATTTTAAGAACATAACAATTATATTATAATAAACACAATTCGGGTTGTGGTTTATAAAAAAATAAATATGAAATTTTATCACTTAGTTATTACATTCTTATTTTATTAGATATATAGTCAACTAAAGTTGAATGGAGAGAATACTCATTTTTTTTCAAAATAATTGTTATTTTTTTATTTTTAATTTGTCTCAAATTAATTATTATTTTTATTATTTTTTAAGATAGACAAACAAATTTTTTCTCTATCTTAACCCTATTGTTATTTATTTATTTTAATTTATAATTCTATCACAAACGTTTTTCTTTACCTTTTAATTTTTTTAAAGAGTAATATAGATATGCATTAATGGTCTCCAAATTCCTAATTAAAATAAAAGTTTTAAAAAATAACATTTATTATGGGATAGAAAAAGTAAGATTTATTCAACTACTTAATTCAATTTAAAATAAGGTAGTATATCCTAATTAATGCATATCCCAATTAATACATAAAGTAACATTTGATATAATTTATAGATAGATATAAATTAAGAATTTGTAGCAATTATGAATAAGTCATTAACATAAAATGCACCCATACTTTCGTTTATTTTATTTTTTTCTTCAAGTCACTAATATATCCATTATTTTTTTTTTGTTTTACAATTTTTATTTATTTATCTACTCATCTACCATTTTTATTATTATTTATAATTTTTATTTACTCTGGTCATTTACAATTTTTATATATTTTTATCATTTACATTTTTTTTAATTTTATGCACTTTCACTTTTTTTAAAATTAGTTAAATATATACCCTATTAAATGTATAAAGTAGTAGTTTATATAATATATAAATATATGGAAATAAATATAAATAGATATAGATAGATCAAAAGTTAAGAAAATAAATTATTAAAAAATTAACTATAAGAAAATGTAGATTTTCATGTCAACTTTCATAAAAAAAAGTTCAGAAATATTGATAAAAAATTATACATAAATATGATTGATAAATCAATATAAACAAATAATTTATTAAAAATATTTAAATAAATTTACAAAAATTATTTATTTTTAATAATTTATACTACTAAACAATTTTAGAAAAATAAACTTTACATGTCAATCAAAAAAATTTTTTAAAATTTTAATTGAATTGTTTATTTTATTATTTAAATTATATTAAATTATAAAATAAGAATAATTCGGTAAAAAAGATCTCAACATTAAAAATGCACCTTTCATTCAACAATTTATATTGTCCATACAATTTAAACCTGTAAATAATTTTTGTATTTTACTTAATAAAAATAAACTCCAGTTCAAGAATTTCGTAAGTAGGCAACATCGCACAGACTCTGAGATGTCAATGGCTTCAAGCAATTACGGATAGGGATGGAGATAATTAATGCTTCTATTTTGACACGTGGATGGATCGGACCTTGTCTTAAAAAGGTGAAAATCACTCTGACTCCGGTGACGGACTGTTACAGTACCGGCGACGGACAATGATGATCGGCAGGCTGATATTTCAAAGGCGATCTTTGACGTCCGTCTGCAGATATCTCTCTCAATGCACTCCACTAGCTTCATCTCCGCCACCGCCCGCCGTGAAGCCCGAGCCTCTGTTTCTAGGCTTCTCCCCCTTCTCTACCATTTCCTTTCAACGCCATAACAGCTCTTTCAGTGTGAGTTTTTGTTTATTTTTCCGTTTTCATTCAATCTAGTCCTATGTTCTAGCATAATTTTTGCTTCTGGGTTTTCGAAGGGCATTGATAATTTTTCCTCTTCCTCCTCTTTGGTCTTTTAGTTCAACATTCCGGGTGCCGTGGATAGACGTTGCTTTTCAAGTCAGGCGGTGGCCGAAATACCGACCGGTGGGATAGTTGATGTACCGTTGGCGCAGACTGGCGAAGGCATTGCGGAGTGTGAACTCCTCAAGTGGTTTGTGAGTGAGGTGAGTGATGTTAATTTTACGTTTGTAATTTGTATATTTATTTTCAGAGTAGGTGTTTCAGCTTGTAATGGGGTTGCTTAATGGTTTTGTTTCTTCAAAACCCATCTCTCCAATTCGTGATATCTTTGGATTTTTTGCATTCTTTGTTGTTCTGTTTCACGTCTGTATTCCTTGCTGGAAAGATGCAATATTATTTGTAAAACAATTTGTGTTTCCTTCCAAGTGTGATTTTAGCATTGAGATTTGCTATGTTGATATTTAGGCAGAATATGTGGTTTGATTGCCTCTGTTAGATGAATAAAATTCACTAGTGTTCATGCACATATTGGATCTTGGGAAGTCCAGTTCATGTCTTTGGTTTTTCTTACTTCTACATGCCTGTCCATGTATTGATCCTAATTCAGTTTCAAAGATGTCAATGAAATCAACATGGATGTTCTTATGCTGATAGGGCGATGAAGTTGAAGAGTTTCAACCACTGTGCGAAGTTCAAAGTGACAAAGCAACCATAGAAATAACAAGCCGTTACAAAGGAAAAGTGGCACAGATTCTCTATGTTCCTGGTGATATTGTAAAGGTGGGGATTGAATTGTTGTCATCTAAAACTCTAGACAGGTTATTGAACTATTTTAAGTGGTGAAGAATCTAGGAATGGTGAGAGGCTGGGAGTGTGTGGGGGGTAAATTGGCCACCTTAAAATATGACATATGTGGATTGGCAAATTCAAAATCTAAGGTGGAAGTCTGCTAAAAAAGTTGTTTTTGGGTGAAGGATTCTGAGATAGGATTTGGTAAGGAGATTATGGTTTAGTTAGAGAAAAATGATGGTTTGAAGGAGGGGTTTCAAAAAACTACCTTTGTAATTGGTATTTTAAGATGAAAAGTTTTTTTATTAAAACCAAAACATTTTTGACATAAAATAAAAGGTAATTTAGAAAAGGAATTTAAAATTCTGTCCTTGATTTTTTCTTCATATGAAAACCCTCTTTAGAGTCCTTCATCCAAATGCCACCTAGAGTTATATTAACTGGCTGAATATATATATTTTTTCCATGAGTGCCTGCCGCTCTAAAATAGCATGGTTTCTTATGAATTTCTTGTTCTGCAAATACCTCAAAACAGACAGGAATGATCAAAATTTGAAACTAGTTATCAAAGAATGAGAAGTAATAGGTGTCTGTAGTTATATGTTTCCATTTTCCAATTTAAGTCTTGGTGGAAATTGTTAACCATTTTTCTATTGTGATTACACATGATGCTAGCTGCAAGGATATTTAGGATTCCAAGTTAATATAATATTTTCAGGTTGGGGAAACTCTCCTAAAGATGGTGGTTCAGGAAAGTCAGGTTCCCACAATGACTTCTAATAATTCGGCTGGTATCAGTATGAGATCAGAGGATTCTAAGATGAACAAAGATAGTACAGGTGGGGGCCTATCCACACCTGCTGTTCGAAACCTTGCAAAGCAATATGGTGTAAGTATAAGTGAAATCCAAGGAAGTGGCAAAGATGGGAGGGTATTAAAAGAAGATGTGCTTAAGTATGCTGTCCAAAAAGGCATAGTTAAAGATGCATCTAACACAACCAGTTCAAGTGTTGAAGAGCAGTTTCAGGGAGAAGAGAGTCACCCATATCTGTCAGCTGAAGCTCCAGGGCACTATGATGATGTGAAAATTCCCCTAAGGTATTTGCTATAGACATATTGGTAACATTATACATTCATTTGAAAGAGAATAACTTTTGATTGCAAGGATTAGGGAAATTCAGATTGCTAAAGTTTTCCATGATAGAGTGAAAGTATTTAAAAATAACAAGGCTTATCTTCTTGCTTTTTGCTGTAATAATAATGAAACTGTCAGTTGTAAAGAACATTATTCAACAAGTCTTAGCTGTCATATATACGTACAGCTTGATAAAGAGCTACAGCTTCAAGGTAAAATGTTGAACTGCTGATTAGAGTCACTGGTGAAAGCAGTCATAGAAATAAATATGAATGCTACTTGTGAACCATTTACCTAAATCCAATTGGCAATGGGTAGAAGGGCCCATACTTTTCATAAGTCTAGAGGTTACCTCAAACTTAATTGTTGTAGACTTGTGGGCTTTTCCCACTTAACACCACTAAAACATGTCTATTTTCAAATAGAAATTTTAATATATTGGATGGAATTATCTCTATGTTGTGCTTGATTTAAGTTAACATGATCCATTTTCCGATACTGTTTTTTGGTAAAATGGTATGACAGGAATTTTTTACCTGTGTCATTTCCCTCCCAGCAGCTAAAGGTTTTTTTTTCCCCCAACAACTCTTACTGGGTGCTAAATTTCTTATTTTATTGGTGGAATGGATTCTTTTGGAATATGTTCTTACTAGCACGATTGCTTTTGTTAAGTAAAAAGCGTGCTAATTACTGTTCTGATTTTTCAGGGGTTTTCAGAGAACCATGGTCAAAACAATGTCTATGGCTGCAAAAGTTCCACACTTTCATTACGTAGAAGAGATAAACTGTGATTCACTTGTGGGGCTTAAAACATCTTTCCAAACTAATAATACCGAACCAGGTGTAAAGTACACATTCCTTCCACTATTGATTAAGGCACTTTCAATGGCCTTGAGCAAATATCCCATGATTAATAGTTGCTTCAATGAAGAGTCATTGGAAGTTGTCCTTAAAGGTTTGTAGGCTTATTCACTCTTTCAATTGGCTCCTTTTATATGTCTCATAAATATAAGTTTTTAACAGGCAAATAACATTAAACAATTTTACTAGATGGTGCATATGCTAATATGACTTTCTCTCTAACAGAGTGCGTATGTTCCTTGTTTCTTCTCATTTCTTGCCTAGCTTTTTCTATCCATGGAATTAAGAATTTTCTAGTTTTTGTGGTTGATAATAGTGTTCTCACGTTTCATTCCAACTTATGAAGGGGAATAAATGACAGCTTTTACAAGATTGTATATTAGTATATTACTATATTACTTGGTAGTTTGATTGACACGTCTCTCAATCGTCACCTATATATTTGCTCAGAAATTTTCTGAAACATGAGAGCATTATTTTGATGGGGTGTTATAGTGTTGAAAATTGATGTCATTTTGGCAGAATAAATACAGCTGTTAGAAAACATGTAGTCATCTACTATTTTCCTATAGGATACACAAAATATTCACAATTTACATACATACATGTATAGGGTAGTTTTTTGTTTTTACCATCAATATGTTTGTGTTTGCAGGTTTTAAATACTACTTGATTGCCAGAAACATGTTAACTGTTAACTATTGATAGGCTGATATGTCTTGGGTGCTTGCCTGTATCTATTAAATATTAGCCCCTTTGTGTCTACTCTATCTTTCTGACATGAGGTAACCATTGCTGATTATTTTAGGTTCTCATAATATTGGAATAGCCATGGCTACTCCATATGGTTTAGTGGTACCAAACATAAAGAATGTCCAGTCTCTTTCTATCTTTGAGGTTAGTTTATCCAACTTCTTATTTATTTAGGGATACAATTGTTCTTCTCAATCTCATTAATAACACTTATAGCTAGTGCTCTAAGTAGAAGAAAATGGAATGGTGTCAATATCTTTTACACCCTGTACATCTACAGTTGTTTATTCCTTCATTATGCGCCTGCTGTATTTTCCTGACAGGATTTTGTTTTATGTATTCAGATTACTAAGGAGCTGTCACGATTACAACAATTGGCATTGGATAATAAGCTCAGTCCAGTGGATATATCTGGTGGAACAATATCTCTAAGCAATATTGGGGCCATTGGTGGAAAATATGGTGCTCCAATTATAAACTTGCCTGAAGTTGCCATTATTGCAATTGGCCGAATTCAGAAAGTTCCCCAATTTGACGATGAAGGCAATGTTTATCCTGTGTCAATTATGACGGTAAGCAACAACATGGCAGAATGCTTTGTTTTCAAAGCAACTCCACATGCATATACACCTCATCAGCCATAATGATTTCCCTCTCAACATGCATCTGCAACGTCATAAACTGTTTTCTACGTCCTTTAATGCATCATGGACTTATCATTAGAGAGGAAATAATCTGACGCTCTATTTTCCTTCTCAGGTCAACATTGGTGCCGATCATAGAGTTCTGGATGGAGCAACCGTGGCAAGATTTTGCAACGAGTGGAAACAATTCATTGAAAAACCCGAGCTGCTCATGCTACACATGAAATGACTAGACTTTCTCAAATGATGTCTGCTTCTCAGCCTCCTTATTTCTGTATCTGTTTCTCTTAGTTAAGGAAAAACCTCAACTAAGTAATAAAACAGTTTGGCTTATCAAGAGAAAAAGTAATAAAACAGTTTATATGCCATTTATTTGCTTCATTCTACAGAGATGTGAGTGCCGTAAAATGTCTCATTTCTGTCTTCAGGGGCTATTCTGATTGAAATGAAAAAGAGGGAAGCAAAAGTGATTATTTTCTATTTTGGATCTCAAATTTAGTAAAATAGTTTGATGAGGATGATGGTAACTTCAGAGAATTTAGGAACCAAATCGTTACTTTTCCTACATTTTAAGGGCCAAACGATATTTATCCAAATAACAAAAGGAAACGACACCCACAAACTGAACAGTTTTCAACCGTCAGAAACGGCAGTGAGAACTAAACTCCACGACCACGGTTACTCTTTAGGAATTAGGACACGTGTCACAAACCCAATTCGCCGGAAAACTACCCGTTAAGTGGTTATCACTCCCTCCTCTGAGGTCCAAACTGCTAAATGATGATTGAACCTTACATCAATCTCTCTTCCTACAATCATGGCTGCCCAATTGGTCTTCTACCTTCTCCTTTCACTCTTCTGTTCTTCCTTTTCATTCTCCAGTGCAGGTATGAACTTCTTTCTCCTTTACTCTTTTTCTTTTGGCTTTTTAATGGGCATTAGAGATTAACTATATGATTTGATTTTTTTGTGATAAACCTACAGTACCAGATTTTGCATTCGGTTGGTTGGATGATAAGAATACATTTCAAGCAGGTGACATTGCCACCATCAGGATCAAGGTCCTTGGAAATTTTGACAGCAAAGGAAATGCTTCACTTGAAAAAACTGCTTTCAAGCCTACAATCACTGTAAATGGGAAGATTGGGAATAGTTCTTACATCTCTGGGGTTGTACAAGATACTTCTGGAGATCCCAGTGCTTGGAGTTGGAAGATTGTTTTCACTCCAATCATGGTTGGGATGTTTAATGTGATTATCAATGATGACCCTTTCAAGGTTATGGATTCTTCCCTCCATTTCACTGTGGAGCCAGGTATTTCCTTGTTCCCTATGCACTGCTCTTTAACAACTGTGCTTTAAGTTTTCGTGCTTTGAACATAATTAATTCTCTCCTTTTTGTTTTCTCCTTAAAGTCCGGTTCTTTTTAAAGATGTATATATATTGACTCCTATTGCTATTTGTTTGATTATAGGGCCAGTCTACCCTTCTGTCAGTATTGCTTCTTGGATGGGGCTCGTGAACGAATTTGAAGCAGGGACAAGAGCTCAAGTTTTGATTCTTCCTAAAGATGCATTTGGAAATAATATTTCTTCAACCAAAAAAGAACCAGAATCTTATAATTTTTCATTGTCCACTCTCTATGAAAATGGTTCTATTGCAAGTTCTCCTAACAGTAGTTACATGGGTTGGAATGAATTTGGCTATATAATCATTGAGTTTATTGCGGTAAAAGCTGGAAATTTCTTGTTGCATGTAGAAGGTGGAAACCAAACCTTGAATGGTTCACCCTTACCATTCAAGGTGAATCCAGGTGACATGCTATGCGGCTTTTATAACATTCTCCAATTAGTTGGATTTTTCAAATGCACTGACTAAAGTTTTATAAGTATGATTAGACTTTCTTGAATATAAAAATTAATGTCATGTTTGACTTATATATGGTGATGTATGTATATTGTGGTTAAAGTATTGTATTGGTTGATATAGGACCTCTGGATGTCTCCAATTGTGTGGCCAAATGGAACTGTGAAGGGAATGCATGGGAAATCTTTTCCAAGATGGAAATATTTATATATCAGCAAGATCAATATGGGAACCTTGTTTCAGGACTGTATGCATTTGATGCTGATGTTGTTGAGAAGGAAACAAATTTGTCTATACCTGTGGCAGATTTGTACTTTGAAGATGTAGAGCCCGGGATTCAGACTTTTTCTTTTACCATGTCAGAACCAGGGAATTTCTTGCTTACAATTTCGGATATGAAGCATAACAAAAGCATCTCCAATATGCCATATGCTTATACTGTCTTCGTAGGTGTGTGAAATGTGAATCTTTTCACAAATAAAACTTCTGCGGTTAATGTCCATCACATTTTATATTCCTTCAATTTTTCTGCTTCCCATTCCCCACTAATCTCAATTCATTTTCTTTTCTAGATAATGGTTAAAGATTATGCTATACCGGATAGCTGTAGAGGTTGTAATATTTTCTCTCCCTCTAATGTTGGTTCTATTACATGACTTAATCTGAACAGGTTATTGCGATGGATTTAACAGTGTTGTCAATGGCTCTGGTTTAAACAGTTCTATTGCAGGGGAAATTGCAGAGTTCTCAGTTTATTTGGTTGATGTTTTTCAATATCCATCCACAGTTAAAGTAGAAAGGCTTCAAGTACAGATTAAAAGGGAAAGTGATTCCTATTTTGTATTGCCTACAATATATCCAAGACAGAACATCAATGGTACAAGCAATTTAGCTACCATTCTTGTCATTTGCTTTTGACATGTAGTCCTGGTCAGAATTTTGACAAAGAAACATGCAAATTGATATAGGAAGTGGATCTACTGGAGTATTGCATGATGGTTTTATCAGAGAGTTTGAATATGCTCCTGCTCCATCATTTGTCCCCAACAATGCTGTAAGATGTGTACTTATTTATGTTCATCAAGCATTTACTCCTGGATTATAATAGTAATTTGGTTTAGAATTTAGTCTTCAGGTAGCTCAAATGTTGAGGCTAGCACATACAGCATCACTTATACTCCTGAAAAGAGTGGGATATACAAAATTCAGGTGTTCTGTGGAAACATTATCCTGAATGGTGGTATTCCCTTTACAAAGGAAGTAAAAGCTGGTATGTTTATTATCACCTTAAAATAACTAGTCCTTGATATAGACATGGATTTAGTTATAATTCAAAATTTCCCTATACTAACTGGCTTTACCATTTCATCACAGGTGAAGTTAATATATCACTCTCAAGAGTAATGAAATTTGACATCAAGGCCACAAAGCTTATTAAGAATGAGATAGTAGTAGAACTGCTGGATTCATTTGGAAACCCTGTTCTGTCACAACAGTCAAGGCTGAAACTAGAGCTTGCTTCAGTTAACAGGTCTGGTTTCACAACTTGGATGTTTGAGAACAACAATGATGGGTCATACACAGGTCACTATCTTGCAATGGAAGTTGGCACATATGAGTTGTGTGTTTCACTTGATGGCAAGCATATCTTACCCTGCCCCTTTGGAATCAATGTGTATGGGAGTAAGTTAGAACACATTCTTAAATATCATATGATTTATGGTTTCAAACAGCACTGGCTTAAGGTGAAGCCAATATTTGCTTTTTCTTGGTAGAAATAGTTTGATGGAAGTTAACTTTATTAAGTTCAATGTTTTTAATATCTTTCAGGTGAATATTTTCCTAAAGCATACAGTGATGCAATATCTGTGTGGGAGGATGAGTCAATTGCTTTTGATGTGTTGGCAAATGACTACTTTGCTGGTGACAATGCAAGCATAGTTGAATTCTCAAAGGTGAGATCAGAAGTTGGAATTCTCTACTCCATAGCCAAGATTATGCTAAGGATCTGCTAGCAATATTTACCTGCAATGTGTGGAATTTGTTAGCCAGGTTATGGTTCACTCCTTCAGTATGGAGGGCTCCTCAGATACACACCATATAAAGATTATACTGGGAATGATTCCTTTCTGTATACAATGTCTGACATAAATGGCAACCTTGCTACTGCTTCTGTCAACATTTCTGTCCTCACCATCCCACCACAGTTTTTTTCCTTTCCAAGCATATTGCAAGCAACTGAGGATATATTAAGTCCCAGATTCAGGTAAAGTATCATTTTAAATAAATTTTGTTGTTGGTATGGGCAAATATCATTAGGTCTACATTCTTGTTATTGTAATCCTCACCCTTTGCAGTGGTTATGCTGGCTTTGAGATAAAATATTCAGATCCAATGGAGAACATCTCGGTCACTCTCAGTGCACGGTCTGGATCAGTATTTCTATCACCAACATTGATTCAATTTTGGCAGCCAATGTGGAGTGAACTTTCTGTAAGCAAAGTGGAGGACCAAGGAAAGAATTTGACCATAGAAGGCCGTCTAGAAGTAATTAATTATGCCCTTAGATCAATTCAATATCTCGGGTACCAATTACTTTCTGAAGCTTTTTTCCCCCCTGTTAAAGTACTATGGTTCTAACATTCATGATTTAATATGAAAATTTTACCTACTTTTTGTACATTAGGACATAGAATTTTCCTATTTCCAGTTTATTTTCTCATTAAAATAATAATTCTCTACCTCCCAAACCCCCAACCCTCTTACACTGAATCATCATCCTTATCCTAGCTCTTAAGGTAAATATAACTTTATTTTGTTGTATTTTTTACAGAAATGAAAATTTTTCCGGTGAGGACACCCTTAAAGTTTCCGCCAGGAACAAGAATGGGAAAAACGATTTGGACATTCCAGTTTTAGTTGAACCAATAAATGATCCTCCATATGTTCAAATTCCTGAGTTCATCATCTTGAAGAGCAGTGGAGATGAGTCACTGATCTTTAACAGCAAAGAAGACAAGTTTGAATTCTTTGTTGGAGATCCAGACGTTCTTAACTTCCCTGGTATGTTTTTCCAACACAGTTTCCTTAAACAAATTTTGATCATGCTATAGGAGTGTTTACTAAAGGCTTGGAATTGTTCTGGTGAATTAAATTCCAGGGGGTGAGTCTCACTTTCTAGTCACATTCTCAGTGGAAGTTAATGATGGATTTTTGCTGGCAACTCTACCTGCTTTCCTCATAAATTCAACTGAAATAAAGCTGAAGAACACTTTTCAGTGGCAACCCCTTCAAACATATGTCTCTATCTCAAAACATTTTGTGGTCAAAGCCAATGGGATAAGATTTCGAGGAACACTTAAAGACTGCAACAGTGTGATGCAAGAACTTGTATATCATGTAAGTAAGTTGATTTCTTTAAAAGTGTGTCAAGAAACTACTGTTGAGAAGCTCATAAAGCTATATGTCGTGTGGAAACATTGAAACATGAATTTATCTATAAAACTAATTCTGTGCACAGGGTGGAGAACATGGTGCTGTTTTAACAGTTAAAATAAATGATATGGGACACTATGGGTGTTATTTGGATTGTACTGAAAAGATATCAATGCCTTTGCGTGCCAAGGCTACTGTAAACCTAATCAGAAGAAGGCCAGTGAGTCCACTGCTAGCCCATGGTAAGTGACTATTATCTGAATCACCAAATGAACACATCAAAAAAAAAAAAAAAAAAACTCTATGGATCTTAATAGTTTCTCATCTGCATCTGCATTTGTTGTAAATTAACTGATATATTTCTCATATATTTCTCACTGCATGGTCACAGCACTTGGATCAGTTATTGTTATTGAATTCCTAGTGTTATTTTTGCTTGGATTGCTACTTCTGTTCTTTACATGCAAATGCGCAATTCTTCTTGTGAACGAGAAAAGGCGATCCAATATCAGAAACTCTGATCAATCTGGCATGCAAAGCTCCCAGAAACAACCTGTAAGTGTCCTTAACTTTTTCATCATGTATGTCATCACATCCCAAGAACATGAGAACAATATTCTTGATTAATTAATACACTTTTCTTTTGTTCTAATTTGTTATATATTGCTTTCTTTTTGCAGTCAGGGTCAAATCAAAATAAGGATGCAACTCACTTCACCAGTTGTTTTAAAAGCCCCTTTTTCCATCATAGCAGCAAACCTTCCACTTTTCGCCAGCGGTAATTATTATCACACACAACTATTGTAAACCTATTGCAAGTTTGCTATTAATAAGAAATGAAAGCTATCAAGCTAATCAAGGTTACTAAATGCTTGCCTGAGGAAACACATATCTTGATAATAAACTTCAGAGGAAGGATGTTTTGAGCTTATTTATTATCCTCTTGTCTGATACATTTCAGATTCTCTAGTAATTCCTTTCATAATTAGCAGATCCAGCAGGTCCTCAGCTAGAGGATCAGGTAGGGAGCCACTTCGCATCTCTCAATCCTCTGGTCATGATTTCTGCCAGCCAACTGCTGTTTCCAGTTTCATGCCACTTGAAGCAATTGAAAGGGAGCAAAGTTTAACAGTCTAATCTTGTGTGTGTGGTATTCAGCTATCAGATTCATGTTCTACTGAACTTTCATTATAAATTAATGTAATATTTGTTTGTCTAAATCATGCTATGAAGTATAAAAGTAAAATGTAAAGGAATCCAACAACAATATATTGTGTAAAGGAAAGCAAAAATGTACATGCTTCAAACTTCATTTGGAAAATGGATAAGGGTTTTTTACTTTTATTACCTCCTTTGGTTTGGTGGTAAGAGAGTTTAAACTTTTAACTCAATGAAAGTTTTTGCACAGTGAAGTTGGGGGTGGAGGCAGCATTTGGACCACAAGTAACTGGGAGACTTGATCTCAAAATTTTACTTAGGAAATTGAATGAGGTTTATGTATCCCTGAGTCACAGACAAGCTTCTTATCTCTTCAATTAGTGTTGAGTTTGTTTACATGGGTGTGTGGTGATGGAATTATGAATAAAATCCCCCATTGAAAAAATAGAGTAGTATTAAGTAGATTGTTAATGTGGGCAGTGGCGGAGCCATCTTATGCTTTGAAGAAAAAAAAATAATTGGTGGGTTTTCAAGTTTGTAATTAAAGTAAATTTGATCCATTAATTTTTGTTTTAATCATTTTTATCCTTAAATTTAATATTTCAATTTTTTTTTGAGAATTCATTTATGGTATGTCCATCAAAATTTTCTTCATCATTTAATAAAGATTCAATTTTAAAATTTTATATAAGTAAAAATACTCTAACGAAATTTATTATAAATGTATTAAGAATTTCTATAATGCCTATAATACCCTTTTATGATTAATAGTTAAAATATTAAAATTTTATTAATTAATTTTAATTAAATAAATTACTATAAATTAAAAATTGATAATCAAATCTCTTTCTCTCTTTCTATTTTTCTTACTACATTTTTCATCATTAAAAATGAACATATTTTATTCAATTCTAAATTACTTAATATTTAATTTTTTTGGTTTGATTAAGACAATTAGAAATTTAATTAATTGAAATATTTCATTTTGGTTAATGATTAAAAATCAAAATATTTTTTACTTAAAAAGATTAAAAGAATTTAATCAATTGTATAAACCATATTAATAAAAAAATCAAAATTTTGGTAATTAAAACTAAAATTTTGAATTATGTTCATGTATTAAAATAAAAATCATTAATCAAAATAATAAAAGAAAGGAGAAGGAGAGTTTTACTTATTGTTATTTTTTAATTTTAATATTTTCTTTAATTAAAATTAATAAATACTTAACATTTTAATTATTTGTCAAAAAAAAGTATTTTGGACCTTTAAAAAAAAAAACTCTAATAAACTTATGAGAGATTTAATTCGATTATTTTTATTTCTATAAGACTTAAAATTTAAGTTTCTCTTAATTTGAAGGAAAAACTTAGTAAAGTCACTTAAAAAGAATTTTCCTATTCTTTTTAATCATTTTCTTGTTCATTGATCTATTGGGAACTTTAGGTGATGATTAATTGGGTACTTTAGGTGACGATTAGGAAGATTAGAAAATAGAGATGCTATAAAAGATGATGAAAAAATGAAAATTAGTTAAATTATAATATTATTTTATTTATTTTCAACAATTGTTTCTTTAATAATAACTTAAAATATTACTTTAGTGTCCATTGTAAGTTGTGATTTATTCTCCGTTGCAGTCAACAGCGACATAGTGCACCGGCATGCCCCTTGCCGCTGCTTATAGGTGGTGATTAGGAAGATTAGAAAATAGAGATGCTATAAAAGATGATGAAAAAATTAAAACTAGTTAAATTATAATATTATTTTATTTATTTTCAATGGTAGTTTAAAATATTACTTTAGTGTTCATTGTATGTTGTGATTTGTTCTCTGTTGCAGTCTCCAGCGACATTGTGCACCGGCACGTTCCTTGCCGCTGCTTGTCAGAGTTTTCTACAGACGTTCCATCAAACTCGTCAAACTAAATCCTGTTAACCCTTTCCATTTCCATATTGCAGCAAACTGAGAGGAAGACGTACAGTACAGGAAGAAGTATTCCAATGAATGATCTTAAAAGTATAAGGACGTTAATGAAACAAAATGAAAAGTAAATGGACGTTCATTCGCTTTAAGTTGAGTAACTTGACAGTACAAGAACCAGGACTGTAGGGGTAGGTGCCAATTTTTGTTTTGTCCTCTGAAGACAAAATGGCGACAGCATCTTCCCCGGGCTTGCAAAATCTCCTCAAAGTTGGCACCAAAATCGTCGCCGTCGGCCGAAACTACGTCGCCCATGCCAAAGAGCTTGGTAACGCCGTCCCGAAGGTATCCTGTTCCCGTTACCATCTTTTTTCCGATGTGGGATATATTTTGGGATTGTAACGAGCTGAAGCTGGTTGTTTTAACAGGAGCCAGTTTTGTTCCTGAAGCCGACATCTTCATATTTGCCAAATGGGGGCACGATTGAGGTTCCCCATCTGCTGAATTCTCTGGATCATGAAGTTGAGCTTGCGGTCGTGATCGGGAAGAAGGCTCGGGATGTGCCTGAGGACACTGCAATGGATTATGTTGGAGGTATATCTTTAAATTATTATGTGATCGAAAACCATCAAATGGGCATTCATACTTTGATTTCAGTCTTTAAGTGATTTGGATCGATTTTCAGTGACACCATGTTATGACTATTCCTGGGTTAATGGCCAAAGTTTTTGGTCGATGAGCTTAAGAAGAACAGCTACTGTATGTGAAAAAATGCTTGAGTATGATAATTTCAATTCCTTTGTCATCTCCATTAATCAGTTGCGAATTGGATGAAACAATTGCTGGTCAAGCAACATCTGGATCAGTACTATATATGTTTAAAGTAAACAGTTGATTATGTGACTGAGCAGAGTCTTTTATCAGTCTCGACTGAAACATGAGGGGTGATGGGGTGTATTCATCAAAAAAATAAAATAAATAAATAAACTTCATATATCCTGATTGGTTAAAGATGCCGAGATGGTAACTTTATTAGCTATCCCAATGGTTTTGTTTCAAATTAAAGCCTGAACCATGCACTTGTTTTGTTCTGTAGTTCTGCCTTTTTTAGTTTTCTTGATTCTGAAATGACCAGTGTTGGTGTTTCAGGTTATGCTTTAGCGTTGGATATGACTGCAAGGGAAATCCAGTCTGTTGCAAAGGTTCAATTTTTGTGTAGACTATCATCTCTTTTCTATTAATTGATTGTATAAGATGCTTTTGCTTGAGACTAGAATTAAGATATTTTTTATGCAACATGACTTCATGCAGAGCTCGTTTTCTGTGTGTCTGCTTTCAATTTCTTATGTTCTGTCTTTCTGCATGTTTGAGCTGTCTTATTCCCACGAGAATACAATAGCCCTGCCAAGCAGTGAAGCAAATAAATTGTAGTGGTTAATTGATTCAGACTTTGAATGTGAAAGCCTTAAGAAAGTACCTCCCTTGAAATCTGTGCATTGATGCAGAGAACTGAATGCAATGCCAAAGTTATCAATTTGGGTCAATGCATCACACTCTTGCAAGACAAAAATCAAGAATTACATAATCACGGTCTAGAAGTTTTACTTTATGCTATTATTCTTACAAGGAGAAAAATAATGTGACGTACTTGTTCATCTTTCAAATTCTTTTGATTATCTTATAAGTTTTAGATAATGAAGACGCTGCTTCTTCCAATCATCTTTCACAGGCTGCAGGTCTTCCATGGACAGTTGCTAAAGGGCAGGACACCTTCACACCAATAAGTTCTGTTGTATGTATTGAAACGCTGTACTTTTTATGTTTCTCTTTCCCTTGAAGTATGTTAACTCTCATTCGCAGTTTGGTGAGTCTTTCTTTCTGCCTTTACATGTTAGAAGGAAAGTAACCAAACCCAATAAATATGAGATTGGTAAAGCTGGGGTGAAAGGGTTAAAAAATCTAATCTTTAAATGTTTACCATCATATGAATGCAGATACCTCACTCTCTACTGTCTTTGTTATGTCATTCAGGCAAAACATTTGGCATTACTTTCCAATTTTCCTCTTTCTGTTATACCAGGTTCTGTTTTGGGGGGAGGGAGTGTTCTGCAGAATAGTCATTCTTCTGTTTTGTGCATTCTAATTACTCTGATATTAATCCTACTCCACATTTTAAGATTGACTGCAAAAATCTTCTGCAGCTATCTCTGTCAATGGTGCCTGACCCTGACAACTTGGAGTTGTGGTTAAAGGTTTATTGATTATGTGTTATTCACTTTTCCTTTTTGTATGTTTACTCTGTAAGCCCTCATATTGTAGCTTCCAACTAAAGAAGGTTTGATCTATTTGTTTCATCACAGGTGGATGGAGAAACACGACAAAAGGGTTCCACCAAGGATATGATTTTTAAGATTCCTTATCTCATTAGCCACATAAGTTCAATTATGACACTTTTTGAAGGCGATGTCATATTGACTGGTATTATAACAGCTCTTTCTCATACTTCCTTTCTCTTTCCACTGCATCTATTGAACACTTTTATTGGGGTGGGAGTGTTCTTAATAAACTAATTATTGATCAAAAGCAGAAGAAAGAGTTCAGTCCATCTCAGGATAGTTATCAGGGATATGATTCATATTTGCAAATCTTCACCATTATATATAATTGCTTGCTAGATCCAATTCTATGAGTTCAAGTTTCAAACATTGGTGACATGCTGGATACATTGGTTGTTTGTGTTTACATGTTTGATGGCATGTCCAAAATCCTAACATCAGTTTTACATTGTAGGCAATTTGATAATATTTTGAGTCATGATTCTACTTTGTTTAAAGGCTTAATAAGTATGGGTTTAATGCAGTGAGCTATAAACTCTTGCATTTTATTGGGTGTTTCATACTTTTTTATGGGATTTTCATGGAAGAAATAATATGCATGATATTATTTTTCAAAATATATTTCATTTTCGGAATTTTTGAAATGAAACATGAAACCTAGACCTTCCTTTCATAGAAAACATTTTTGATGAAATATTAGAGGAAATTAAAAGGTTTTTAAATGTCATAGGATTTTGTTTTGTGATATAACTTGTCTCATCATTGTTATTGCAGGGACTCCAGAAGGTGTTGGCCCTGTGAAAGTTGGTCAAGAGATAACTGCTGGGATAACAGGTCTTCTTGATGTTCACTTCAATGTTGAAAAACGCCAAAAGGCTAGGTAGTGGAGACCTATGTGTATCTACTTTTAATTCTGGTTATGACAACAAAATAATTCAACTTCATTTGTGTTCTTATATGAAAAACCAACAGTACACTAGTGAATTTGCGAATAATATATGAGGTTATTTATCTCCAGGCTTTTCATGGAATGAATGTGCTACTCATTTCTGAAAAA